TGGCGATAGGAGATATGTTAATGGGAGTTTACTTACTGGTAATAGCTGCCGTGGACGCTTACTACCGAGGGGTTTACTTTATCTACGCCAGCTACTGGAAGCATAGCTTTCTCTGTCAATTCTCTGGCTTTCTGTCCACTCTGTCCAGCGAACTTTCTGTGTTAACCTTAACCATCATAACCTTAGACCGGTTTCTGTGTATTATTTTTCCGTTCCGGATGAGACGCTTGAGTACGAAGCAGACGTCCCTGATCATGGGCGGAGTGTGGGTTGTAGTAGTCCTGCTGGCTGGAGTACCTTTAATGCCAATCAACTACTTCGCTAACTTCTACGGACGGTCAGGAGTGTGCTTAGCCTTGCACATCACCCCTGAAAGGTCACATGGGTGGGAGTATTCTGTATCTGTTTTCTTGGCTCTCAATTTCGTTTCTTTCGCAGTCATAGCTTTGGCTTATGGCTGGATGTTTGGAGTGGCAAAGAAAACTCAGACAGCTGTCCGGTCCAGGGATAACAGATCTGACGCTACCATGGCGAGACGAATGACCATTATTGTAGCCACGGATTTTTGCTGTTGGATGCCCATCATTCTGTTAGGGATAGCATCACTTAGCGGGGTAATAATACCTCCTCAGGTACGTAACAGAGCTCATATAGAACAATAATACCTTAAGTACGTAACAGAGCTGATATAGAACAATAATACCTTAAGTACGTAACAGAGCTGATATAGAACAATAATACCTTAAGTACGTAACAGAGCTGATATAGAACAATAATACCTTAGGTACTTAACAGAGCTGATATAGAACAATAATACCTTCTTAGGTACGTAACAGAACTGATATAGAACAATAATACCTTAAGTACGTAACAGAGCTGATATAGAACAATAATACCTGAGCTACGTAACAGAGCTGATATAGAACAATAATACCTTCTTAGGTACGTAACAGAACTGACATAAAACAATAATACCTTAAGTACGTAAGAGAGCTGATATAGAACAATAATACCTTCTTAGGTACGTAAGAAAGCTGATATAGAACAATAATACCTGAGCTACGTAATAGAATTGATATAGAACAATAATACCTTAAGTACGTAACAGAGCTGATATAGAACAATAATACCTGAGCTACGTAACAGAACTGATATAGAACAATAATACCTTAAGTACGTAACAGAGCTGATATAGAACAATAATACCTTATTAGGTACGTAACAGAGCTGATATAGAACAATAATACCTTAAGTACGTAACAGTCACGAAGTAACAGATGTTGTTCATATTTAGTAGGTAACACTACCTCACGTACGTAACAGTCACGAAGTAACAGATGTTGTTCATATTTAGTAAGTAGCACTTTCTCCCGTACGTAACAGTCACGAAGTAACAGATGTTGTTTATATTTAGTAAGTAACACTTCCTCACGTACGTAACAGTCACGAAGTAACAGATGTTGTTCATATTTAGTAGGTAACACTTTCTCTCGTACTTAACAGTCACGAAGTAACAGGTGTTGTTTATATTTATTCTCTTTCATTTATTGAAAGAACCTTCGTTCTTCGTTTTAGCGACTTATGCAATAACGAAACTCGATGTAGCCACAACAATCCTTTAAACAAGGAAGTTACATGTGACATCATTAGGCTGTACATCTTCGCTACGTCAGGAAGAAATAGCCACAACAATCCTTTAAACAAGGAAGTTACATGTGACATTCATTAGGCTGTACATCTTCGCTACGTCAGGAAGAAATAGCCACAACAATCCTTTAAACAAGGAAGTTACATGTGGCATCATTAGGCTGTACATCTTCGCTACGTCGGGAAGAAATAGCCACAACAATCCTTTAAACAAGGAAGTTACATGTGACATCATTAGGCTGTACATCTTCGCTACGTCAGGAAAAAAGATTTACTCTAATATGTGAGTAGACTCAAACTAACCTGACCAGTGACGAGAAAATTTCAACATCAATCACATATATTAATTGTCCAAGTGCTTGACCACAAACACCTGAACTCCAACAATCAGTCACCTGATTCAAACCCAGTACCTGACCATAACTGAGTGACTTACTTCAAACCCAGTAGCTGACCATTACTGAGTGACTTGATTCAAACCCAGTACCTGACCATAACTGAGTGACTTACTTCAAACCCAGTAGCTGACCATTACTGGGTGACTTGATTCAAACCCAGTACCTGACCATAACTGAGTGACTTACTTCAAACTCAGTAGCTGACCATTACTGTGTGACTTGATTCAAACCCAGTAATTGACCACTAATGAGCTACCTAATTCAAACCCAGTAGCTGACCATTACTGAGGGACTTGATTCAAACCCAGTAGATGACCACTAATGAGCGACCTAATTCAAACCCAGTAGCTGACCATTACTGAGTGACTTGATTCAAACCCAATGGCTGACCATTACTAAGTAACTTCATTCCAACCCAGTAGCTGACCATTACTAAATAATTTCATTTCAAACCAGTAGCTGACCATTACTAAGTAATTTCATTCCAACCCAGTAGCTGACCATTACCAAGTAATTTCATTCAAACCCAGTAGCTGACCATTACCAAGTAATTTCATTCAAACCCAGTAGCTGACCATTACTAAGTAATTTCATTCCAACCCAGTAGCTGACTATTACTAAATAATTTCATTTCAAACCAGTAGCTGACCATTACTAAGTAATTTCATTCCAACCCAGTAGCTGACCGTTACTAAATAACTTCATTCAAACCTAGTAGCTGACCATTACTGACTGACTTGATTTAAACCAAGTGGCTGTTACTACTGAATGACCTGATTCAAACCCAGTAACTGACCATTAATAGGTGATTTGATTTGAAACATGTGGTTGACCATTGCCGAACCACTTGATTCATAGCGAATATTCGTTTACTACTGACTTAAACTATCCAATTATTTGATTATAACGAAACATACAGTCGCTCAAATTTCTGAGTTTAATTTTGATTTTATATACATTTCTTGGCCATAGACATTATACTATTAATCTCTCACAAAATAAGCCACAGCACTAAGGTCTGGGACTTCAGGTAGAGAGAGATAATAATCAAGAAGAGGGTGTAATTTAGTGAATTGTAGAGGTCCACTCTTAATGAGAAGATGAAAGCGTTTCTAACAACATACAAACTTAACCTACTCTTCTGCTAATATCTTATCTTTCTAAATGTTTAACCAAAGTTTTGTTTTTAGACAGAACTAATAGCGCATGATAGGCATTGAAACTTTCACAATGGGTTTGTTTCCCTGATTTGATCTTGTGCTCAGTGAAAACGTCTCGGCCGTGTGCGGTCACCCGTTAAATCTGTTTTATGGTATCTACTTTGTCTGTGCACACTGACTAATTTCTAATCTCCACTTCACCGTGTACAGTACTTAACTCGAGCTGAGAAATTAATGACTAGAATGTTGAAGAACTATTCGTCCAACAAAACACGACACTTGACAATGTTTGGGTGTTATTAAACTCACGACACTTGATGATGTTTGGGAGTTATTAAAATCACGACACTTGATCATGTTTGGAAGTTACCTAACCTCATGACACGTGATCATGTTTGGGAGTTATCTAAACTCACGACACTTGATGATGTTTGGGAGTTATTAAACTCACGACACTTGATGATGTTTGGAAGTTACCTAAACTCATGACACTTGATCATGTTTGGGAGTTATCTAAACTCATGACACTTGATCATGTTTGGGAGTTATCTAAACTCATGACACTTGATTATGTTTGGGAGTTACCTAACCTCATGACACGTGATCATGTTTGGGAGTTATTAAACTCACGACACTTGATGATGTTTGGAAGTTACCTAACCTCATGACATTTGATCATGTTTGGGAGTTATTAAGATCACGACACTTGATGATATTTGGGAGTTACTTAACCTCATGACACGTGATCATGTTTGGGAGTTATTAAACTCACGACACTTGATCATGTTTGGGAGTTATTAAACTCACGACACTTGATGATGTTTGGGAGTAATTAAACTCACGACACTTGATGATGTTTGGAAGTTACCTAACCTCACGACACTTGATCATGTTTGGGAGTTACCTAAACTCACGACACTTGATGATGTTTGGGAGTTACCTAACCTCATGACACTTGATCATGTTTGGGAGTTATCTAAACTCACGACACTTGATGATATTTGGGAGTTATCTAAACTCACGACACTTGATCATGTTTGGGAATTATCTAACCTCATGAAACGTGATCATGTTTGGGAGTTATCTAAACTCATGACACTTGATCATGTTTGGGAGTTATCTAAACTCATGACACGTGATCATGTTTGGGTGTTATCTAAACTCATGCAGTATTATTAACTATTGAGTTATTAACTATTATCAAACTAAAATCAAACTAGCTTCACTAATATTCCAAAGCCATATTTCAGTAGTATTATCTTGTTTCACTAATATTTCAAAGTCATATTTCAGTAGTATTTACTTGTTTCACTAATATTCCAAAGTCATATTTCAGTAGTATTATCTTGTTTCACTAATATTCCAAAGTCATATTTCAGTAGTATTTACATGTTTCAATAATATTCCAAAGTCATAGTTCAGTAGTATTATCTTGTTTCACTAATATTCCAAAGTCATATTTCAGTAGTATTTACATGTTTCACTAATATTCCAAAGTCATATTTCAGTAGTATTATCTTGTTTCACTAATATTCCAAAGTCATACTTCAGTAGTATTTACTTGTTTCACTAATATTCCAAAATCATATTTCAGTAGTATTATCTTGTTTCACTAATATTCCAAAGTCATATTTCAGTAGTATTTACATGTTTCACTAATATTTCAAAGTCATATTTCAGTAGTATTTACTTGTTTCACCAATATTTTAAAATAGAGTTTTCAACCTGCACATTTACAATATAAAATACCAGAAAGTGAATATCTCTGATATTTTTAACATTTAGAATATCAAATACCAGAAAGTTTGTTATTTACACCTTTGTGTTCTATTCTGTTTCCAGAAACGTTTAGTAAAAACAGAATTAAATCATAAGCTGACGACTTGTCTTCTGCATGTCTTAACATTTGATTTCTTTGCTAATCGCCAAGATCATCGTGTTCATGGACTTTTCTTGTTTTATTGCAGGTCTTTGCTTGGGTTGCTGTTTTTGTTCTTCCTCTCAATGCCGCAATAAATCCCTTGTTGTACACTTTATCGACAGCCCCTTTCCTGAGTCCAGCGAGAATGAGAGTTTCCCGGTTTCGGTTTTCTCTTATGAACTCAATTACTGGCGAATCCCAGAAGTCTATCATTGGTAAGGGTTATTAATGTTTACTGGATGGTCTCTTGTTTGTTTCCTTTTTTCTAGATCTTTCACTGCGAATAAGAAAAAATACAAAACTAAACTAAACAGCAGTTCGTTCATAAGATTACTGATTGAAACCCACGTCACGCGAGGAGTTTATCAAACTATAAATAGTGAAAGCATTTCGTTGAAAGAGACGTAACACAAGTGTCTATTAGAAAATGAGCTTAAACTCACAAGAGACTGTCCAAACGTTTAAAGTTCAAAGTTTGTCACAAAATGATGTACGTACTCATTTTATCATTTTGATTACTGGTTATAACGTTGAATAATATAACTCATTGAGGACATTTTTCATTAACAGAGTTTCAAGTTAAACACAACACTATACGACTTTAACCCCAAAACTTCTATTAAACTTCATTTAGTTTTAAAGTCGGTTAAACTGTTTAAAACCCATATTTATCCCATTTCTGTTGACCAATATGTGACAACAATTATTTATGACGACTCAACTAAGCTGGTAGAATTTAAAACCCATATTTATCCCACTTCTGTTAACTTGCTTTATAAAATGTTCTACTGATACTAGTAAAGTACAAGTGATTCTACCCTAACTTGTTTTATAAAATGTACCACCGATAAAAGTAAAGTACAAGTGATTCTACCCTAACTTATTTTATGAAATGTACCACTGATACTAGTAAAGTACAAGTGATTCTACTCTAACTTATTTTATAAAATGTTCTACTGATACTAGTAAAGTACAAGTGATTCTACTCTAACTTATTTTATGAAATGTACCACTGATACTAGTAAAGTACAAGTGATTCTACTCTAACTTATTTTATGAAATGTACCACTGATACTAGTAAAGTACAAGTGATTCTACTCTAACTTATTTTATAAAATGTTCTACTGATACTAGTAAAGTACAAGTGATTTTACTGTAACTTGTTTTATCAAATGTTCTACTGGTACTAGTAAAGTATAAGTGATTCTACCCTAACTTGTTTTATAAAATGTTCTACTGGTACTAGTAAAGTACAAGTGATTCTAATCTAACTTGTTTTATAAAAATGTTCCACTGGTACTAGTAAAGTACAAGTGATTCTACTCTAACTTGTTTTATAAAAATGTTCTACTGGTACCAGTAAAGTACAAGTGATTCTACCCTAACTTGTTTTATCAAATGTTCTACTGGTACTAGTAAAGTACAAGTGATTCTAATCTAACTTGTTTTATAAAAATGTTCCACTGGTACTAGTAAAGTACAAGTGATTCTATTCTAACTTGTTTTATAAAATGTTCCACTGATACTTGTAAAGTACAAGTGATTCTACCCTAACTTGTTTTATCAAATGTTATACTGGTACTAGTAAAGTACAAGTGATTCTACCCTAACTTGTTTTATAAAAATGTTCCACTGGTACTAGTAAAGTATAAGTGATTCTACTCTAACTTGTTTTATAAAAATGTTCCACTGGTACTAGTAAAGTACAAGTGATTCTACCCTAACTTGTTTTATAAAAATGTTCCACTGGTACTAGTAAAGTAGAAGTGATTCTACCCTAACTTGTTTTATAAAAATATTCCACTGGTACTAGTAAAGTATAAGTGATTCTACTCTAACTTGTTTTATCAAATGTTTTACTGGTACTTGTAAAGTACAAGTGATTCTACTCTAACTTGTTTTATAAAATGTTCCACTGGTACTTGTAAAGTACAAGTGATTCTACCCTAACTTGTTTTATAAAAATGTTTCACTGGTACTAGTAAAGTACAAGTGATTCTACTCTAACTTGTTTTATCAAATGTTCCACTGATACTTGTAAAGTACAAGTGATTCTACCCTAACTTGTTTTATAAAAATGTTCCACTGGTACTAGTAAAGTAGAAGTGATTCTACTCTAACTTGTTTTATAAAAATGTTCCACTGGTACTAGTAAAGTATAAGTGATTCTACTCTAACTTGTTTTATCAAATGTTCTACTGGTACTTGTAAAGTACAAGTGATTCTACCCTAACTTGTTTTATAAAATGTTCCACTGGTACTTGTAAAGTACAAGTGATTCTACCCTAATTTGTTTAATAAAAATGTTCCACTGATACTTGTAAAGTACAAGTGATTCTACTCTAACTTGTTTTATAAAAATGTTCCACTGGTACTAGTAAAGTACAAGTGAGCTGATTGGTACCTTTTTGGATTAAGTGATTTCCTTACAAAATTAAAACTTCCTTTGCCTTTTTTACTTGATTTTTTCTTTAATTCTCGAATTCCTCCTACAGTTTCCTTACCGGATGTTCCAGTTCGTTTTGACCGTGATCCCTCATTTCTGGATACTAATGGAGAAATTGTTCCACTGCGTGACCTCTTACCAATCCCTCAAGGAGAAACAGTCAAGCCAAGTCTACGGCGCCATCTAGCGACTAAAACTCCTTTAAGTGTTCGTTATTTAAAGCCCTCACGTCAAATGAAAACAAGCGAAATTTGATGAGACTAATTATATTCACAACACTCAATCTTCTGAAACGTTAAACACCTAAGATAAAGATAAAGTGGTTTCATGGTTTGTAATTTCCATATTTTTTAGGATTTCCACAACAATGAGTCTTGTTTTAAAAGAACATCATGTGGAAATACTTCGTAGAAATTAGACAAACCTTTTAGTCATTGTCTTTTTAAATAAAAATAATTGGAAGGTGTTTTCAAACTGTATTTAACACAATAGAATGGGTAAAAAAGTGCAGTATTATAATTTCCTAAACCTAGTTGATACTATACGATGTAGACATCCAAAAAATGTAATGAAGAATGACCTAAAAATATCAACTTTAATGTTTCCTTGTATTCAAAATATAAAAACTGGTTTTTAATCTTTTACTTTGTCAAAAGGAAATAGTGAACAGGAAGATAGTAGTGCCAGCTTGAAGTTTATCGTGTCAAACATTAAATGATTAGGAACATGGTAGTACCAACTTGAATTTTATCTTGTCAAACATTATATAAACAGGAACATGGTAGTACCAACTTGAAGTTTATCCTGTCAAACATTAAATAATCAGGAATATGGTAGTACCAACTTGAATTTTATCGTGTCAAACATTATATAAACAGGACATGGTAGTACTAACTTGAAGTTTATCCTGTCAAACATTAAATAAACAGAACTGTGACTGTACCAGCTTAAAGTTTATTCTGTCAAACAGTAAATAAACAGGAACGTGGTAGTACCAACTTGAAGAATATTCTGTCAAACAGCAAATAAACAGGAACGTGGTAGTACCAACTTGAAGTGTATCTTATCAAACAGTAAACAGGAAGATGATAAGACAAGCTTGAGGTTTATCCTGTCAAACGGTAAACAGGATAATGTTATTACCCACTTGAAGTTTATCCTGTCAAACAGTAAACAAGAAAAATGATAAAATTAGCTTGAAATTTATCCTGTGAAATGGTATAGAAGAAGATGGTAATACCCACTTGAAGTTTATCTTGTCAAACAGTAAACAGGAAGATAGTAGTGCCCACTTTAAGTTAATCCTGTCAAGCAGTAAACAGGAAGATGATAATACCAGCTGGAGGTTTATCCTGTCAAACACCAAACAGGAAGATGATAATACAAGCTTGAGGTTTATCCTGTCAAACAGGAAAGAGGAAGATGATAATACCAGGTTGAGGTTTATCCTGTCAAACAGTAAAAAGGAAGATGATAATGCCAGGTTGAGGTTTATCCTGTCAAACAGCAAACAAGAAGATGATAATATAAGCTTGAGGTTTATCCAGTCAAACAGTAAACAGGAAGATGATAATACAAGCTTGAGGTTTATCCTGTGAAAGAGCAAATAGGAAGATGATAATACAAGCTTGAGGTTTATCCAGTCAAACAGTAAACAGGAAGATGATAATACAAGCTTGAGGTTTATCCTGTCAAAAAGTAAACAGGAAAATGATAATAGCAGCTTGAAGTTTTAATAAATCTACAGATACCATAAAACTAGAAAAACCAGACTGAGTTTTAATAAATCTACAGATACCATAAAACTAGAGAAAACAGACTGAATTTTAATAAATCTACAGATACCATAAAACTAGAGAAAACAGACTGAATTTTAATAAATCTACAGATACCATAAAACTAGAGAAAACAGACTGGATTTTAATAAATCTACAGATACCATAAAACTAGAGAAAACAGACTGAATTTTAATAAATCTACAGATACCATAAAACTAGAGAAAACAGACTGAATTTTAATAAATCTACAGATACCATAAAGCTAGAGAAAACAGACTGAATTTTAATACATCTACAGATACCATAAAACTAGAGAAAACAGACTTGTTAACACTAAACGTTTATTTGAAATTCAGTGTTTTTCTTTACGAATTGTTGATATTCTATGTGAGATTGACTGAGTTCATTAACATGTTACAAAATAAGAACTTATTAACAGACATGATCCGTAGTTTGTTCTGTAAGGTTAGACGTAGCTAGTATATATAGTAGTGTTTTAAAAGGCATGTTCAGTAGTCGGTAGTTCACCTTTTCATTTTGAAGATTTGTGAGTGAAAACAAATCTCGTGAAGAAGTTATTTGTTTCACACTTTATATTGGTTCGTAACTTGATATTTTCATCGTATTTAATAATAATTATCTTGTATTTCTCTACGTTGTTCTAATCCGTTAGACTTTTGTACTTCTATAACGTGAAATTTAATGGAATAAATATTTTCTGTCTCAGTTATACTATTGATGTTCTTTTATTTGATTCTAAATGAAATCTTAGATAGAATATGACGTCATAAAACATTTGTGACGTATGTTTGTGAGTTACAAGAAATAAATTTACCAAAATAAATGTTTCCATAACTTACTCAGATACATTTCTTTAATGACTTATAACAGATGGGTGTCACTAAGTAAGCCAATGAAACGTCTTTATTCTTTATACTGATAATTAAGCTTGTTACTTCATTATAAGAGTAATTCTCACATTTCTAGAACTTGATTTCTCATTGTTAAAGTAACTAATATATTTCAACTTGATCCCTCATTGTTAAAGTAACTATCATATTTTAACCCGATCTCTCATTGTTAAAGTAACTCTCATGTTTCGACCTGATCTCTCATTGTTAAAGTAACTCTCATGTTTCAACCTGATCCCTCATTGTAAAAGTGACTATCATGTTTCAACCTGATCTCTCATTGTTAAAGTAACTATCATATTTTAACCTGATCCTTCATCAATAGTTTACTTGTTAGATTTTATTTATTTCTTTATTGATACTATTGTTTCTGTATATATTATTAATTTCTTCGTTGATACTATTGTTTCTGTATATATTA